ACTCCGGGAGAGAAAATGGAACAGAGGGAGGCAGCGCTTCCTCTGCTTCTAGCCTCTTGCTCATACAATTGCAGTAAGCGACTAAAGGTTTAACTCTTTCATTTTTGGCTTGTGGCTTTAATTGGCTACTCCGTCACCTGGCAGCTCAGTTCTCGCTCCCTGCTAAGCTGAGCTCCTGACAGCCTCCTTCCCTAGGTTATCACTAACTGCAAAAAGTCATTTCATGTAATTTTGCATGAGGGATCCGGACAAGCTCATGGTCTACAGGATCCATTCTCTTGGCCTGGGTAGGACAATTAGGATTCCTGATTCCAAAGTATTTCATAGGGATCACTAATTGTTCTTGTTTTTGTCATAATGGCCCTGCAGATATATTGCGTTTGTTAAAGGAGGCCACAGTTTAAATATACCTCTACATCAAACACTCATCGTCACGTCACCAAAACTTAAAACTATCCTGATTTCCCTGAAACAAAACCTAAGCTTTTTTTTCATGTCAGATAACCTGGTAGCTTCCTAGCTAATCGGGTACAAACAGGTAAGCTTATGTAGTACTACTATCCTAAAAGGAATATATGTTTCTAGTAGCCAATCATAACACAAAACAAGGTACTTCATTCATGCTTTATAAACCGAGTTTCAAGCTACTTTTGGTTTGGAAGTCTCCCTATTTTCCAACAGTTTGTTTCCCACTCAAAATATTTGTCCCATGTAAAGTTTTCTGAATTTTCTTTTGACACATTCTACCAGGGTCCTGTGCTTCTACACACTCTCTCACCAGATGATCTCCAAGATGATCCCTGAACAAAAAAGGCAACAAGATCTTGCAATACAGTTGATTATGAAGACAACGGAAGGCTTTCCAAACAGTGATCTCTAGTTTTCTCTGAACTGGTCAGCCCCTCAAAAATGAGAGAATGGGGTGCCTGGGTGGCTCAGTTGGTTAAGTGCCTTCGGCTCAGGTCATGATCCTGCATCGGGCTCCTTGCTCAGTGGGGAGTCTGCTTCTCCCTCTCCCTCTGATCCTCCCCCCACTCATGCTCTCTCAAAAAAAAAAAAAAAATCTTTACAAAAAATGAAAGGGGGCATCTGGGTGGCTCAGTCTAAGCGTCTGCCTTCGGCTCAGGTCATGATCCCAGGGTCCTGGGATCGAGTCCTACATCAGGCTCCCTGCTCCACGGGAAGCATGCTTCTCCTCTCCCACTCCCCCTGCTTGTGCTCCCTCTCTCGCTGTGTCTGTCAAATAAATAAATAAAATCTTAAAAAAAAAAAAAATGAAAGAATGGCCAAAAGTGGGAATTGAGAGACTGAATATATAAATGAACAATGGCCAGATATACGTTTGTATATGTTTAGAATTTTTTACAATACAAAATTTAAAATATTTTTAAAATGTCAGTGTCATTAAAGATTAAATTAAACAACAGAGAGTGATTCTAGATTAAGAGACTAGAGACATGATAAGTAAATGCAGTGCATGCTCCTTGATTGGACTGTAGATTTTTAAAAATTAGCTATAAAGTACATTATTGGAAAAATTGGGAACATTGAAATTGGACTGTATATTAGACAACAGTATTGAATCAATGTTATATTTCCTGGATTGAATAATTTTTATATGGTTATGTAGGAGAATGTCTTTGTTCTTAGGAGATAATGTTGAAATACTTGGGGTAGAGTGTCATGGTGTTTGCAATTTACAAATAGTTCATGAAAAACTGTATGAAGGTAGAGATAAGATAAATGAAAGAGGGGCACCTGGGTGGCTCAGTCGTTAAGCGTCTGCCTTCGGCTCAGGTCATGATCCCAGGGTCCTGGGATCGAGGCCTGCATCGGGCTCCCTGCTCGGCGGGAGGCCTGCTTCTCTCTCTCCCACTCCCCCTTGCTTGTGTTCCCTCTCTCACTGTGTCTCTCTGTCAAATAAATAAATAAAATCTAAAAAAAAAAGATAAATGAAAGAAAATGTTAGTGAAATTGAAAAGTATAGAATGTAAATTTAATATTCTTAAAATTTTCCCATAGGTTTCCCATACGTTTTTTCAAAGTAAAAAGTTGGTGGGAAAGGAGTACAATAAAATATATGTAATATTACAAAAAAATAAAAAGCAAAAATTCCCAGATACTTGTATCTACATTTGTTGCAATGGAAGGATAATCCAAAAAATGAATAATAGTTGTTGGGGGGGCGCCTGGGTGGCTCAGTCGTTAAGCGTCTGCCTTCGGCTCAGGTCATGATCCCAGGATCCTGGGATCGAGCCCCACATCGGGCTCCCTGCTCCGCGGGAAGCCTGCTTCTCCCTCTCCCACTCCCCCTGCTTGTGTTCCCGCTCTCGCTCTCTCTCTCTGTCAAATAAATAAATAAAATCTTAAAAAAAAAAAAAAGTTGTTGGGGAGAAGACAGGATTAACAAGAGGGGATTGAAAACTAGATTTTTCTGAATGTACATTTTCCATAATGTTTTTGAAATGTACTTTGTAAATTAGTCTTATATTCTAAATAGCCTATCAGTGATGATTTTCATTTCTTACTTTATTTGGATATTATTTAGTAGTGTGGTATAATGTCTCCTTATCCATCCATCCATCCATCCATCCATCCAAGGGAACTAGTGTATAATTACTGTTTGTAAATGCTCCTAAACATTAGAAAACTGTCCTATATTCAGAACTATTAGGCCTTTATTATATTCTTTTTCTGCATGATTGCTCCTTGTTTGTGATTTATTAAATATCTCTTTACTAGTTTATTTTCCTCATTTTAACCATTTTTCCTCTCTGTGACCTATATTTTGATGTTATTTGATGCAAAAAATCAGTGTTATGTTTTCATTAGGCTTTGTAATGTTTTTCATTGTACAGAGATTTCTTAAGATTGAAGATTACAAGAAGTGAAGTTACGAAGAGTGAAGTTTCTCAATGAGAATCAATTCACTCACATACTTTATTGTCTGAACCCAAAGCTCCTCAGACTGGTTCCTCCAGGGCTAAGCAAAGAAAGTAAAAGCATGTGGTCTGCTGACGTCTTCTGGGTAGTATTTTTTTACTTTATGGGGTGCAGAGAGCTTAAATAACTTGCACTCAGCCACAGAGCTAGAAAATATTGGAACAGTATTCAAATCATGCCCTGTCCCTGTCAAAGTTAAATTACCTTGAAGGTAATAGAGTGACTCATCTTGGCAGATTCGCTAAATTTCAAAAAATTCCGTTTGAAGCTGGCATGAGGTCAGCAAATAAAACTCAAGGCTTGCTAGATGTACGAAACTTAATATAGAGTTTCTGCATAAAGCTAAGACCCCTAATAGCTATACCTCCAAAATAAAACTAAATCAGAAATAAACTTTGCCATCTAGATGGGAATGGCAAAGGAACATGTCTAGATCTTGCCTTTCTCTTGATGTAATAATCACTACAAACCAGCCTTGTGGCTAACTCATGTTATATGTAGGAGTCTGAAAAATTTCAAGATCATTTGAAGTGGCCTTAGGTCGGATGCATCCTCAAGAGAATGGCTGAAGGAAAAAATTATCAATTTATGAAATGATGAAATTATATCCCTTATGCCAAAGTTTAAAAAATTAACCCCAGATGGTTCAAGGATTTACATACTTAGAAACTTCAGAATTCTTAGTAAAAAGTATAGGAGTGTCTTTAGGCCTCAGGGCAGAGAAGGATTTCTTTCTTTCTTTTTTTTAATATTTTATTTATTTATTTGACAGAGAGGGAGAGATAGAGCAGGAACACAAGCAGGGGGAGTGGGAGAGGGAGGAGCAGGCTTTCCACTGAGCAGGGAGCCCAACAAGGGGCTTGATCCCAGGACCCTGGGATCATGACCTGAGCCAAAGGCAGACGCTTAACGACTGAGCCACCCAGGCGCCCCCAGAGAAGGATTTCTAAAGCAAGACACAGAATGCACTTACTATAAAGACTTACAAGTCTTGACTATATTGAAATTAAAAATTTTATTTAACAAAAGACTCCTTAATGTGAAAAAAACCATTTAAACTAGAAGACATTCACAATACATACAATTGGGAAAAGATTACTGAGAGTGAGGGAGAATACTTGAAAGGGAGAACTTTCATATATTATTTTATATCCTTGAGAACCTCTGTTTTACAGTGTGCATATATTATGTTGATTTTTAAAATTAAATTGAAGAAATAAAAATATCCACTGAAGTTAGAGTCAATATCTCCTCTTGTAGAGATTATCTGATAACCTTCGAAGCCTAGATGACGTGGATGAGGGAATTCAGGATATTAATACTATCAGCCTTCTGTAAATGATCAAAATTTTCCATTAAAAAGATTTTTAAAACAAACACACCATAGCTAATTGTGAGAACAAAATAGTTTGCACCGCATATGCTATCTATTCTAGAACAACTACCAAACAAGATTTCTAGAAATGTACTAGAAAAAGTAGAAGAACATGCATGGGATAATACACACCAGCTTCAGGACAATGATTTCCTGTGGGGAAGGAAAGGAAAGATGCTTTAAGTGCTATCTATTTTATTTTATTATTTATTTTTATTTATTTGAGAGAGAGAATGAGAGAGAGAGAGAGCATGAGATGGGGGAGGGTCAGAGGGAGAAGCAGACTCCCTGCCGGCAGGGAGCCCGATGCGGGACTCGATCCCGGGACTCCAGGATCATGACCTGAGCCGAAGGCAGTCGCTTAACCAACTGAGCCACCCAGGCGCCCAATACAGAATGATTTTTTAAACATTTTTTTTTTTTTAAGATTTTATTTATTTATTTGAGAGAGACAATGAGATAGAGCATGAGAGGGGGGAGGGTCAGAGGGAGAAGCAGACTCCCTGCCGAGCAGGGAGCCCGATGCGGGACTCGATCCCGGGACTCCAGGATCATGACCCGAGCCGAAGGCAGTCGCTTAACCAACTGAGCCACCCAGGCGCCCCTAAGTGCTATCTATTTTAAAGAAGAGAGAAGCAAGGCAAATGTGGGAAAATGTTAACATCTCGTTAAATGGGGCGATAGTGGGGTTGTCACATAGGTCTTGGTTATATAACTTTTTGAATGTGTGAAATCTTTCCTAATTTACATTTTTAACTAAAATTAATAACATTGGGAAGAAATGTGCATCAACACTAGTTGTTTTAGGGTGTTGGAAATAAGCGGGATTTGTCTAGAGTCCCTACGTGTTCTGTAATGACCACCTCTGACGTTTATATTTTAAAACACGACACACTTGCTTGAAGGATTTTGAAGTACTAACCAAACGGAGAGTTGGGAGACAACAGGGAGCAGAAGGAAGAAAATGTAGACTCGACGAGCCTGCCCTCAGCCTGATCCACCTACCTCTGGAAGGTAGAGCAGAAACCTTAACCCAGGCACGGAAAGAGTCCGGGTCGACGAGGCCTCCAATCCAAACCACGCTGGCCATCAGCTGTGTGCTGGGGCAGGGACCTTTGAGGCTAACTGCCACCTGGCTCAGTGGAGACGATCGCGGAGAGCCTCTGAGAGCTGGCTGAAACTCAAATTAATGCTAGTTCAGGATCCGGGACGAAGCCCGAGTGGCTGGCTCCCCAGCGCCACCGGGGAAGGGCGCCCAGTGTCAGTTGGGTCGACTCACCCGGAACGGATGGCGAGGAGTCGCAGGAAGAGGCGGGGCTGGCCGGAAACCGTAAAAGGGGGCACAGGCTTCGCCCCTCGCTGGAGTTCCGCCGGCGCTCCCTGGACATTGCTCTGCCTGGGCTGCGGGACCTAGCATGGTCGACGACGTAGGTGCCGCTAAGGCGCAGGGGGACGAATGGACGCCCGCCCAGTCCCTGGGCAGGCTGCTCAGGTCACCGCTTCCACCACCGCGGATTCGCACCCGGCCGTGGTGGTTTCCTGTGCAGGAACTGAGAGACCCACTGGTGTTTTACCTGGAGGCATGGCTGGCTGACTCCATCTTCGGTGAGCCACCCCAGGGGTGCTGGTGGTATGACTCCCCTCCAGTCCAAGAGGAGAGAAACCCCGCAGAGCAACTCTCAACAGTCTCTGCCCGATTTGCAGGCCACCTTTGACGCCACGCTGCCCACCTTCCAGCTCTTCCCTTCTCCGGCCAAAATTCCCTTCAAATTTAGCTCCTACTCACCTTCGACCTTGCTTCCCCTCAGAGTCTCTTTTCCTGTTTAGGCCCAGACCGAGCCATAATTCCAGAAATGGAGTGGATGAGCCAAGTCCTGCTGACGGTGGACATAGTTAACTCTGGGGACTTGGTTGAAATCACCATCTTCGGACGGCCCCGTGTACAAAATCGGGTAAAGAGCGTGCTCCTGAGCCTGGCATCCTGGCACCAGAAACATCGTGCCCGAGGTGAGGGTCTCTAAAAACCTGCATGTGGAGGGAGCCACCAGTGAACCACCTGGCTGTACCGGGCTTTCTATCAGCCTTTATTACCTTACCAAAACTTTTTGCAGTTTTCTAACTGCAGTGTTCTGCATGCAGCCCCTGGGCAACCCTTTGTAAGAGGAGTCCCAAGTGGGACGTTGGGAAAGTAAACAGATCTAACACATTCACTGCCCGTGCAGCGTCAGCTTGGTTTCACCACTGTTTCCAGATCTCAGGTTCAGAGCCTCCACCTGAGAAGTGATGCTGCTAGCCCCTCCCCTCCTCCCTCACTCCCTTCAATGATGGAGTAGTTTGGAACAGAGAGCATTTTTCCTTATCCAGCTGAGAAGATGAAACAACTTGAGGAGTTCTTGAAGGCGGGTGCATCAGGTCCCCAGGCCCCCCAGCATCCTGTTGCATAAGTATTTTCAGGAGCATTGTGAGAAACAGTCCTGCTTCTACTACTAAAGTTGGAGAGAAGCAAGTATCCATAAATCTCTGCATTCTTTTTTTTCCTGTGTCTTGATGGGTAGTGCTTTGATTATTTTGATGCAAAAGTGAGTTTGTAGTGCCATTCTAGTAAATGAATTTCATTTTTGTCCAATGGCTATAAAGATCTTTGCTCACTTAAAATTAAGCAAATATATAAAAGATTGATTCTGTTCATTCATGCCTTGATGTGAGGGCTGGGTAAAAGGCTGATAGGTAGTGGTTTTATTTTTGTTTTTTCCTTTGCCTCTATCATTTTGAATCAACTAACCCTTTTATGATTTTATGGCCAGAGTCAGGCCCTCAAGCACAGGCCCATGAATTTGCATTTCTAATAAGCTCATAGGTAATGCCAGTGTTTCTCCTCTGAGGTTCTCACTTTGAAGTTGGTGGTTTGGCCTCTGGGTAGCACCTAGTGTGCATTTTCTTCTTGGAGTGGAGGCTTCCTCCCTGCACATGGGTGGGTGCTCCAACACGAAAGCTGAGGCAATCAGTTATTTATTCTGTTAGCATTGCGATTCAGCAGAGAGCAGCCAGGGTCCTTGGCAGCTTGGCTGTTGGAAGGCATCCTGCCACCAAGCCAGCTGTCTCATTTTCCTCTGAGGCCTGCACAGGTGCCCTGCATGAACTGGGCTGTTTTTCCATTACTCATTACCATGACCAATTTGTGCAAAACAGCCCCAACCTCTTGCCATCTCTACTTTCAGGAAGCAGGATTCTTGGGACAGAGGTTGTCAAGAGCTCTATGGCTTCAGCACAGAGTTGGAATTGATTTAACTCATGAAGTTTCTTCACCCCTACGCATAATGGATTCTGTCTGTTTGCAAGGGTTGTAAACACACATGAGCAAGTCTTTTAATTTTAAAGATTTTACTTATTTGTTTAGAGTGTGTGCACGGGTAGGCGGGTGCAGAGGGAGAGAGAATGAATCCCAAGGAGACTTGAGTTGCGCAGAGACAGAATTGGGGCTGGATCCCACTACCCTGAGATCACTACCCTGAGATCACGACCCGAAATCAAGAGTCGGAGGCTTAACCAACTAAGCCACCCAGGTGCCCTGTACAAGTCTTTTAAAATGTGCTGCTTTGATTACAGGTGATATTGAACATTTTCCTATTTTGCTTCACATTTTTTTTTATTAAAAGATTTTATTTATTTATTTATTTATTTGAGAGCGAGAGAGAGAGAGAGAGAGAAACAACATGAGAGGGGAGAGGGTCAGAGGGAGAAGCAGGCTCCCCGCTGAGCCGGGAGCCCGATGCGGGACTCGATCCCAGGACTCCAGGATCATGACCCGAGCCGAAGGCAGTCGCTTAACCAACTGAGCCACCCAGGCGCCCCTTTGCTTCACATTTTTATAAAATCCTTTTACATTTTTCTTTATTCGTTCCTATATTCTTTAAACTTTGAAGATACGGATTTTTATTATCTGTACAAGCTTTTGTAACAAATAATAGTCCACTATAACCGGTATTTTCTACCCCATTCCTTCTCAAATTTTTTGTATATGAGAAATTTTCATTTTATGTAGTTAAACTAATTATGTTTTCTGTGTCATTTCCCCCTCCTCCCAACCCCTTACTTTTAAGCTTAGGTACTCCTGCTTTTTCTCCTTCTGCAGAAATTTGACAAAATATTCCTACGGGTTATTTTAGTGGGAAATCTACAAAGCCATTGAACATTGTTTTACTGTTATTTGGAGGCAGAGGGTTATGCTTAAAACATTCTAATTTTCTAAAAATTATCCAGAATTAAATTACTAAATTATCCTGCATGTTTTTCATCCTTTATATGCACTAACATGTTGAAACCCTAACCCCTAGTACCTCAGAATGTGACTGTGTTTGGAGAGGCCTTTAAAGAGGTAATTAAAATGAAATAAGGTCCTATGGGTGGGCCCTTCTCAAATATGACTGGGGTCTTTATGGGAAGAGGAAATATGCACACAGATAGGTGGGTGCATGGAGAAGATCATGTGAGGAGACAGCAAGATGGCAGCCATCTGCCGGCGAAGGGGAGAGGCCTCAGAAGAAACCAACTCTGATGACATCTTGATTTTTGAATTTCCAGCCTCCAGATCTTTGAGAAAATAAATATCTGTTGTTTCAGCCTCCCAGTCTGTTACTTTGTTATGGCAGCCCTAGCAAATTAAAACAACATTTAGTATGGTTTTTCTGTTTTCCCTTTCACCATGTGCTGATACAGCATTTTTACTACCTTCATAACTTTTTTCTTTAAGATTTTATTTATTTGGGGGTGCCTGGGTGGCTCAGGTCATGATTCCAGAGTCCTGGGATCGAGTCCCACATTGGGCTCCTGGCTCATCGGGAAGTCTGCTTCTCCCTCTGACCATCTCCCCTGTCATGCTGTTTCTCTCTCTCTCTCTCTCTCTCAAATAAATAAGATCTTTTAAAAAAAAAAAAATTCTATTTATTTGTCAGAGAGAGAGAGCAAGCGCACAAGCAGGGGGAGTGGCAGGCAGAGGGAGAAGCAGGCTCCTAGCTGAGCAAGGAGCCCGATGTGGGACTCGATTTATATGAGAGAGAGAGAGAGAGAGAGCGCACAAGCAGGGGAGGGGTAGAGGCAGGAGAAGCAGGCTTACCCCCTGAGCAGGGAGCCCAATGCAGGATTCGATCCCAGGACCCTGTGATCATGACCTGAGCCAAAGGCAGACGCTTAACCAACTGAGCCACTCAGGTGTTCCCCCTTCATAACTTTTTAATAAAAAGAATAGCGCTGTCATTCTACTTTTCAGAATTTGGGGGTAATATTAGCTAGTTATTTGAATTTGTATTCCATACCAGGCCCTGTGCCAAATAGGACATGATTAGTTTGCTAAGGTCACAGAGCTAGGATGTGGGGATGGATGGGTGAGATTTGAACCAAAATATTGATTCCAAGATCCAAATCCTTTATACTTTCCCACTGGCTCTTTTTTTCCACACCCAAATTTAGACTCATTTCTCATAGTTCTTTTTTTTTTTTAATTTTATTTATTTATTTGACAGAGAGAGACGCAGTGAGAGAGGGAACACAAGCAGGGGGAGTGGGAGAGGGAGAAGCAGGCCTCCCGCTGAGCAGGGAGCCCCATGTGGGGCTCTGTCCCAGGATGCTGGGATCATGACTTGAGCCGAAGGCAGCCACTTAATGACTGAGCCACCCAGGCACCCCAAGTGTTTATTTCTTTTTAAGAGGAATTGGAATAAACCTCTTAACTGTAAAGAATGAACAGTATTTGTTCTTCTATTAAGGGATAAGACTTTTTTCTAACAAGTTGCTAGAATAGAGCTATTTATTGGTACCACATCCAAAATAAAAATAGCATTATTATTTTTTTTTAAGATTTTATTTATTTATTTGAGAGAGAGAGAATGGGAGAGAGAGCACATGAGAGGGGGGAGGGTCAGAGGGAGAAGCAGACTCCCTGCCAAGCAGGGAGCCCGATGCGGGACCCGATCCCGGGACTCCAGGATCATGACCTGAGCCGAAGGCAGTCGCTTAACCAACTGAGCCACCCAGGCGCCCCATAAAAATAGCATTATTGACTTTTCTTTTTTTAAATAACTTTTTTGCTCTATTCTGTTCACGTGTGACAGCTCCAAACCCACAACTTGGTTTTTCTCTTTTGACTTTGTTATTCTTTCATTATCTATGTCAACAGAAACTTTCTCCCACTAATATATGCAATTTGATCCTCATCCCATAGATCCTCAAAGATCATGGCTCTCCAGCACCAGCACCTGGGTCCTCCCCTTTGACTGTACCCATGTCTGTCTGTGCTGGGACTCTGCCCTGGTCCCATCACCCCTGAGGTGCCTTAGGCCAGAAATGCCAAGCAGGCTCGATCCAAACTGCACATAGGTGAACAAATGTTTCCTTTCAAACCCTGTTATTTGCCCTGTAAATATGGCCCTTATGGGGATGGTCAGTTGGAAGTCTCACCTGAGGGGAGGATGCTCTGCCCAGGCCTCTCAATCGGGACTCCAACCTGACCGTTTCCATCGGGTTCCCTTGCTGTTGAGGTTGGATGTTGTAAGTACCCAATTTGATGTAACTTTGCCTTATTCTCACTCATTGCCTACTATTACCTTCATCCATGTGTAGATTCCTTTCCTCTCCTGTTTCTGTTAGGTTTTATAATAATAATAAAGTTTTCTTTCCTTTTCAAAGTTGAAACACGGCTGTTGTGAATCTTTTGTTCAGAACACCATCTCAGCATTATTGACTTTTCTTTCTTTTTTTTTTAAGATTTTATTTATTTATTTGTCAAAAAGAGAGAGTACAAGCGGGGGGGGGGCGGGTAGCAGGCAGAGGGAGAAGCAGGCTCTCCACTGAGCAAGGAGCCCCATGCATGCATGTGGGACTCTATCCCAGGACTCTGGGATCATGACCTGAGCCGAAGGCAGATGTTTAACCATCTGAGCCACCCAGTAGTCCCATTATTGACTTTTCTGATGGTAAATGTACTTACATGCTCAATATTTTTAAAAAATAAGGCAATATATAAAGTATTAAAATAATTACTTAAAAATCTCACTGCCCATGTTACCTTCAAGTAGCTTTCCATTACTCCAAATATTTTTCTATTTTATTTTTTTCTATTATTTTATTTTATTTTATTTTTTTAAAGATTTTATTTATTTATTTGACAGAGAGAGACATAGTGAGAGCAGGAACACAAGCAGGGGGAGTGGGAGAGGGAGAAGCAGGCCTCCCGCGGAGCAGGGAGCCCGATGTGGGACTCGATCCCAGGACCCCGGGATCACGACCTGAGCCGAAGGCAGACGCTTAACGACTGAGCCACCCAGGCGCCCTCTATTATTTTAGTAAACATTTTATGGATACATAGCATTCATACAAAAACACACACATTCAAAGTGTGAAAAAATCCATCAGACGATATAAAGGGAACACATCCATTTAGCCAGCACCCAGAGAAGAAACTACCAGTTCTCCAGTAGCCTCCATTTGCACCCTCCCCAGGGATAACTACTATTTTGACTTAAATATAAATGGAATTACTGTAAGATTTATCCATGTTACGAGTGTTGTATGAGTAAACCATAATTTAGTTTTCTATTCTGTCTGTGTACATTTTGGTTGTTTCCTGTTTGGGCTTATAATGAAGAGTGCTACTCTGAAAG